GAGAGAGAGAGAGAGAGAGAGAGAGACTACTAATGATAATGATGATTAGTTTGGAATGGGGAAAAAACAAAAATCATTGGAAATCATCAAAGTTTTTGGGTAACAAAAAAGAAGAAAAAAATCGGAATTGGTAATGATTTTCTTCAGATAAGATTTTTGTTTTGTATGATGCTTGGGATGATGCTATTTTGGAGAAAAGTTGGAAATATTTTTTTCCTTTGTTCATTCATTTGAATGATTCATTGGTAAAGGATTTCATTCGTTTTTTTTCCTTTGAAAAAAAACCATGGTTATTGCTTCGATTCGAATCAATTTTTTTTTCAGTTTTCGATTTAATGATGATCAAATCACATGATCAAATTTGATTTCTGGTGAACGTTTATTTATTTTTGTCATCATTGAATTACATAACCAGCATGATGAAAAAAACCGGCATGAATCATAACCGAAAAAACAATTTTTTGGTCAAATTCTTTCCATAATATTTCCCATAGTTTTTTTTCACAGCAGCCATCAACAATAATTCATTAATATTATGGACATTTTGGTTGTTGACATGAATTCGCTATCTATTTTTTTCCGCATTGTTTTCCCACACATATACACATAGTTTATTTTCATATTCATTCATTCATTTTGTATGTTTGCAGAATATTCTATTCTCTATTCGCTATGACGGAAAAAAATAGAGAGAAAGAGAATTCCATAACAATTTCACGACTTGAATATTGATAAATGTTCGTTGCGGTATATACATTGTTTATGGGGAAATAAATTCTTATTGTAATATTTTTTTCTCTCTATTGAAATGTAGATAAAAGTTTTCAAGCACAGAGAGTGAGAGAAAAAGAGATATATTGTATATTTATCGTCATTATCATTATCATTATAATGATTATTATTATTATTATTAGTTTGGATGGTTACAAATTTACTACTTTTACTTTTTGTTGTTGTTGTTGTTGTTTTTTGGATCATCATCATTGAATAAATGAATGAATGAATGGTCACTTATATGGATAATAAACGAATGAATGAATGACGTCGCTTGAATTTTGTTGTTTCGGCTTTTTTTTTTTTTTTTTGGTTTTTCCAAATATGTATTTATGTTCATATTTTTTCATACATGTTTTTGTCTCTGTTTATGACAAGCAAACAAACAACAGAAAAAATTCTCTTGGTTCCAACCGGATCCAATCAAGGGTTGATGTACTTCATACTGTTTTGGTTATTGCTGTTGTTATTATTAGCATTTATTGTGAAGAAACTTTGGTTTTATTTTCTGTTTGTTTGTTTGGGTTAGCTGATTGGTTATGATCTGGTTTGATTTGACGTAAATGTCTGGCTCATCATTATGATTATTTCATTTGATTTTCGGGTTGATTAATGTTTTTTTTCTGGTTAGTGGAGTTGAGGTGGGTTAAAAGGGCTCATTACACTGTTGAGATAAAAAGATCTGATTATCATCCTAAATAGTAGACACGCACGATTAACACGCAGAGGATGATGACAAATTAACCCCATTTCGATTGGTTTTTTAGATCGATTATATAATCTACTGATTACGTTTTATTTAACACTTGATTCGTTAAATTTTTTTTTGTAAATTCAGTTACTTTATTTATGAACAGGACAGAAAAATGGTACACCTTTTTTGAATTTTTTTAAATTTCATTTTTTTGAAATGACAAAAAATTCTTTGAAAAAAAATATTCTGGAGCTTTTTGTTTTTTGTCAGACAAAATGAAAATAATGAAAAACAGAATTCTTTTGATTCAAAATTGAAAACAAAAGGCAAAGAATATTCTTTGTTTGTTTCCGTTGGTTATGAATTATGAACATTCAAAAAAAAAACTGTCATGAAACTTTTTTGCTGTTGTTGTTGTTGTCTCCATGTCACTTTATATGCAAGAGTAAATTATCATGTCAAGTTTTTTAAAAAAATTTCGAAACAAAAATTTGATTTTCTTTCGGAATTTCCTTTTTCTGTATTCAGTTTTGATTCTTTTAAATAAATTATTTTTCTCGTTTTCTAATTTTCTGATTTTCTCGTTTTTTCTCATTTTTCCCGTTTTTTTCTAGCAACATTTGTTTATACCGTACTAATCAATGATAAAGTACAATTACCATGTGATATACAACCACCAACAATGGATGATCAAATTGTTTTGGTTCTTTGGTATAAAGATGATGAGGTAAGATATCGTTATCATACATGAATCGATCGCTATAATGATTTTTGGAAAACATTTTTTTTTTCTTTACCAATTTTAGCTGGCACCAATACTTACGTTGGATGTTCGTAAAAGTAAGTTTTTCTGCTTTTCTTTTCTTTGCTTTTCTTGGCCAATTTATATCGGGCCGAATCTTATTAGCATAGATAAATTGGAAACCAGAAGCCAAATTGATGCGCGCTATATCCACACAACAATGATGACACAAAGATGATGATTATATGCAAATATTGACCTGTGCAAATCAATTTCGTTTTTCTTTCTTTATTTTGTTGGCATTTCCACAATGTTATTTCTTCTTCTTATCATCATTAATATCTTTCTTCTTTTTGCTTAGTGTTTCAGGATCAAATTTTTTTTATCGTTCCACTATGACATATATAATATTCATAATGATCGGTTGATTTGCATAATTTTTTTTTCTTTTTCTTTGCTGAAAAACAAAACGTTAATTGGCTTAACAAAAGCTAACTAACGAAACGAAAAAATTCTGAATTCTTCTTCTTCTGAATAGAAGAATTTTCTTTAGCTAATTTTTGTTTGTTTTTTGTTTGCGTTTGTTTTTGTTGTTTGTTTGCTTGTTTGTTTTCAAGATAAAAGTCTTAAGATTCTGTCCTTTTTTTAAAAAAGAACAGAATCTATCATGCGATCAAACGCTGCTGTCATATCAAATGATGGAATCTTATCTTATTATCAAAACGAGAAATATTCCGAAAAAAATTTTTGCCTCGAACCTATTTGAGAAAATTTCCGGGAAATTTTTTCAACCCTTTACTATCGGTGGTCAAGCGTAACTAACTTTAAAATAAATTTTCAAAACAAAAAACCAAAAAAACATTGAATTTTATGCAACTCTTCCGCTCTCTTCTCATCATCATCATCATCATCATCTAATATTAATAATCACAAAAAAAAATACTTTATGCAGTAAAGAAAAAAAGGGTTAATATAACATTTGTAATGGAAATAAACATTACATCATCATCAAGATCCTGATGATGATAATGTTTAATAATTTATACACACATTACCTTTATTCATTTATATTTTCTATTTTTTTTCATCAATGTTTTTTACATTTATATTACCCAAAATTACCATTATGATGATCATCATCATTATAAACATGGTTGAATGAATAAAAAAAATAAAATCTATTGATGTTTTCGTTGATTATCTTTAGCTTGTAATTTGGTTTGATGTTAAAAAATGATGATGATTATTATGGCAAACTGAGAGCTAGAATATTCACTTTTGAATTTTTTTTTTTTTAATGAAAATAAAATAAAGATTTTTTTTAACACTGCTAAAGCCAAAAGTCAATGTTGTTTTTTTGTTTTTACTATTTTTATTATGCAATAACTTTTTTGGTTCAAATATTACATTAATGTCTTTTCTGCTCATCTCTCTCATCTCTCTCTCTCTCTCTCTCTCTCTCTCTCTCTCTCTCTCTTGGTTGTGTTTGGATGTGGTTTTTGTTTGAAAGAAACCAAAAAACGGTTACCTTTAGTTTGTTTTTCTATTATTACACAAGAATTCCATAGTGGTATATTTTTTTCCATTTATTCGTTTCACAACGTTATTCTGGTTGTTTGTTTTTGTTTACAATTTTCGAAATTTCACTGAAAATAACATTTGGTGAATTTAACCCCTTTTGACAACACACAGAACGAAAAGACTTTAATTCTATGAAAAAACAAAAAAATATAAAACCTTCAAAGAAGCAGGAATATTCTATTCCATTCACCCTTCTCTTTCTTTCGCTATTGTTTTTTCATTATTATGATTTGAAAAGGAATGAAAATATATTTATTGTAAGCATCCTTTTTTTGCATATTCATTGCGAGAATGAGAAAACGCCAAAAAACGACAAAAAAAACCTAATGATAATGATGAGATTAAAATGATGTTAATTCTTTTCTCGTTTTCTCGTTTTCGTTTGTTTTTTGGTAAAAAAGAATTTTATCCGCATCATTTTCTACAATACTACACGCTGCATATACAAAAATCATAATGATGATGATGATGATGATGGTAAAGCTGATGTGTACGTATTTTGTGTATAGAAATCTCTTTTCATTTCATTCTCAAAATCAAATAAAAAGGATGGGATGTTAAAGGTTTAAAGTTCAAAAAAATGTAATAGGAAAACTATAGTTAATCCCGCTTGTGTGTCAGAGGAAAAGAGAAAGAGCGAAAATATTTTTCGGGTTTTTTTCTGTTTTCCCGGTAAATTCCCGGAATTATTCCCGAAAAAACAGAATTTCTATTTTCATTATTTCTATCTTTAAATCCAATGATGATAATTTTGTTATTTTTATTCGCTTACTTTCATTCATTCATTCATTCATTTTTTTTCTTGGTAAAATTATCTGCAAGCTTTTTTTTCCTCTGATCTCTTAATTAGATTTTTCTTTCTTTCTTTCAATTAGTTTTTCTCTTTATGGCGTATTTATTTCACTTATGTTTGTTCTGTATTTATGATTGGTTGGTTGGTTGATGGAAAGAATCAAGAAAAATAGATAATCAAATTTTGATCAAATGGTTTATGATCAAAGTGTTTAGTGTTTAAGTGCGAAAATAAGATCAAATTATTCATCACGATTCTATATTTGAGAAATAATTTTTTTTTGTTCCAGGGAAATTTCCCTGGAACAAAAAGAAAAATTTTTTTTCACCAAAATTGCTCTCTTTATTTCTCACTTTTTCCTTCTCTCTCTCTCTCTCTCTCTCTCTCTCTCTCTTTCATTCATTTGATAAATATCATCATCCAACTGTAATATTTGAATTCAAATTATCCTCTTGGTGATAATGATAATAATAATAATGATTCTGGAATTATATTCTGCCATTTATTTTATTTCGTTTTGTTTTGTTTTGCTATTTCGATCAATAAAATATCAATGATGATCATAACTAGTGGCACATTTATGGAAATTTTCTCAAAAAAAAAAAATTTCCATAAAAATCCATCTAACCTAACCTTTGACACATGTTTATTGCGTGCATATCTGTGAAAATAAAATCAAACTATGAATTTACCATCAATTCATTGATACAAACAAACAAACAACCGAACGAACGACAAAACATCACCGATAAACACACGCACGACATGGACNTTTTCTTGGTAAAATTATCTGCAAGTTTTTTTCCTTCTGATCTCTTAATTAGATTTTTCTTTCTTTCTTTCAATTAGTTTTTCTCTTTATGGCGTATGTATTTCACTTATGTTTGTTCTGTATTTATGATTGGTTGGTTGGTTGGTTGGTTGGTTGGTTGGTTGGTTGGTTGGTTGGTTGGTGGAAAGAATCAAAAAAAATAGATAATCAAATTTTGATCAAATGGTTTATGATCAAAGTGTTTAAGGGCAAGAAGAAAAAAAAATAAGATCAAATTATTCATCACGATTCTATATTTGAGAAATAATTTTTTTGTTCCAGGGAAATTTCCCTGGAACAAAAAGAAAAAATATTTTCGCCAAAATTGCTCTATTTCGATTTTTTTCTCACTTTTTCCTTCTCTCTATCTATCTCATTCAATAAATATCATCATCAAACTGGAATATTGGAATTCAAATTATTCTCCTGATGATAATGATGATGATAATAGATTCCGGAATTATATTCTGCCATTTATTTTATTTATATCGTTTTGTTTTTGTTTTTGCTGTTTGTTTTTCTGATCAATAAAATATCAATGATGATCATAGGAAAAAACTGGTGGCACATTTATGGAAATTTTCTCAAAAAAAAAAATTTCCATAAAAATTCCTAACCTAACCTTTGACACATGTTTATTGCGTGCATATCTGTGAAAATAAATCAAACTATAAATTTACCATCTATTCATTGATACAAACAAGCAAACAAACGAACGAACGAACGAACGAACGAACGAACGAACGAACGACAAAACATCACCGATAAACACACGCACGACATGGACACAGATATTAGATATTATTAACGGTAAAAACCATAAATTATAATCAAAAAAGCACGATAAACATGGAGAGAATATCTAACGAAACGGAATTCATATTCCCGGTGTGTGTGTGTGTTGTAGTCACAAACAGTACCCGGTAATATGATCTCATTCATGTTTTGTAATATAATCATTTTGCTGCTTGCTGCTTGCTGCTTGCTTGCCAAACAAACATTAATAATATGAAAAATGTCAATTGCATTCAAATTCATTGCAAATTTATTGTATTCTGGCTAAATGATTATTTTCTTCACTGAGATAAAGTAATAATGGTTTTTTTTTGATTTTCTTTGATAAACAACGACAACAACAACAAATCAGATCAATTGGATCCAGGTGCAGTTCAAGTTTCAGCATCCAATTTGAGAGGTAAGTTTTCTTCTTTTTTTTGGAAATATTTCTTTGATTGATTTTTTTGGGAAATTTTTCTTAATATCAAATAGGTCGTGCCTATTTCAATGTACATGGTAGACCAGCACATTTATCAATCGATCCAGTTGCTGCATCCGATGAAGGTGATTATCGTTGTCGTGTTGATTTTCGTAAAGCACGTACAATTAATACAGTGATTTCATTAAAAGTGATAAGTATGTGTCAAAAATAAAAAAAAACATTACTATTTTAACCCATACAACCTCAAAATAATATTTCATTATCATTGCTATTGTTATTGTTATTGTTATTGTTATTGTTATTGTTATTGTTAAAATAGTTCCACCACAAGTGCCAAAAATTACCGATCAAGATGGAAATTATTTAACCGGTTTAGTTGGTCCATATAATGAAGGTGATGAATTAACATTAACTTGCCTTACAAAAGGTGGTAAGTAACTATTGTTTTTTACAATTTTCTTTTTTTTCTCACTTTTTTTCAATTTTTTACAAATTATAAAAGGAAAACCACGACCATCATTAATATGGTGGCGAGATTATGCAATCATTGATGATTCATTTGAATTTGATGATCGTGACGGTATGCATTTTGTTAATGAATTTGAAAAAACATCTTAACTAGAGAATAAAGAATTTTAAAAGAATTTGAAAAGAATTTTAAAAAAATTCAATTCTCTCATCATCAATAATACTAATATATTTTTTTCTTTTTCTCTTTCTTTTTTTATCTTTCTCAAATAAAAAAAAACATAACAATCATCATTATTTAAAATCGATGATGATGAACGAAATAATCGATTATCATAATCGATTATTATGATGATTTCACTTTCACTATCCTTTTTTTCCCCTGTTTCAAAAAATAAATTCTAAACATCCAAAAAACAACGATGACAAAAAAAAATATTCAAATTTTATTAACCCTAAAACATCAATTTAATTTGTCGATCGGTTGACATGGCTGGAATTTTCGTAATATTTATTCAAACATTGTTTTTTCATCATTATCATTTCATTTTGCATAAAAAAATTCAATTTTCCTATCAACAACAACAACATTTCATTTGATGATGATGGTGGGCCTGATTAATTTTAATATTCATAATAATCATTATCATTATCATCACATGACCATAATAATAATAATAATAATCATAATGATGATGAACCACTGAAATTCTATGAATAAAAATTCTGTGTGTGTGTGTGTGGCTATCTATATATATTCTCTTTTTCATTATCGTTTTTTTTTTTTGGTGGTGGTGGTGGTGTTTGAAATAATGATAAAACGATTTTAACCCACCAAACCAAACCAACCATTCGACCGACTAAATAAAAACTTTGCCCAAATGAAAAAAAACACACATATACAAACAAACTTCTTTTTAATGAAAAAAACTTATGATCTTTGGTGTGTGGTATTTGGGATGATAAAACCAAAAAAATTCTCTCTCTCTCTCTCTCTCTTGGTTTTCGTATATTTTTTTTTCGCTTTCTATCCCATCATCACCATCAACATTTTATTATTCTGTACTGGTCGATTATAACGATTTATCATCATTTTTT